TAAATAAATTAAGGACAACTGGTTGACAAAAAGAGATCAAAATATTCAAATTTTATTGGAAATAAACTTTAAATATGAATTATTAAAAAAAAGAGATTAAGAATTTTAAATTTTAGAGTGGTAGGTAAATTGTAGGTGATAGTGGTGCTTGAGAAGTATCTCTCGAGTGTGAAAGGTTAAAAAGTGGTAGTAATAGTAGTATAAAATATTGCATCTTCCTATGTTCGCAACTACCTGAATATTTCCTTATTTTTAAGTTTGTCTAGATCCAAAGGATGATTTTTAATTCTGAAGTAAACGTTGATTGTAAAAAAGTATCAACTTCTTTGTAATAAAAATCGGTTAACCAGTTCCTGATTTTTTCCATATACAATAAGAAACCTGTAGCAAAAGTGAGAGAACGGAATGTAATTTCTAAGTTCGTATTCACCACCTTGCTTAATATCTCCGATTTAATACATCTAGTTGCGAAATCTCATTATAAGATATTTTTTACCTCGGAAATAATAATAATTAAAAAAAAAATCTGGCCGAAAAACAGAAATGCCAACTTGCTCCGGACAACAAATATATATTTTAAAGTGGTAGTTTATCAAATGCGATCTTAAAAGTGGTGAATCATATAAGCCTACGAATTATTTAGAAATAGTGGTGGATAAAAATCTGCTAAATTGAATTTATTAAACCAAGAATCACAATTGATAAACTACCACTTTAAAATATATATTTGTTGTCCGGAGCAAGTTGGCATCTCTCATATATGTATATATATTGGAACTAATGTGACTTTGTTATTTCCAGTGAATTCTATTTTTCCGGGATACTAACAACCTAGCATTCTCCAATTTATTTGAATTGAAACCGATTAAACAGAGACGTGTAATCATTTAACACTTGTTTTTAAGTTTAAGAGAACGAACATTATACATACCTTTGTTGATTTGGAAACTATAAATTATTTTTCGGAAGATAATTAATATACAAATTTTGTACAGTAGCACTTATTTCAAATTTTTCGGTAAATATTTTGTGGGAGAAAATGGCGACTACGTGCAATGGACTCGTTTCTGAACTAGGTAGAGGGGTCATTGTATTATTCTATTAGAAACGCAAAATGCTAGGATTTGAGTAATGTGCTATTAAACACCACCCTGTTTATAATCATGCCGGTAATATTAGGGATGCATTGTTTACCCAGTAGCTAAAATCAATGAAAGCTGTAATTTTAACGAACTATTGTTTTATGCCTGCAACAATAAGAGCATACCTATATTTTTTCAACAATTAATTATTACTATTAGGTTGCACAATCTGCTGAAAATGTTTACATTAGCAAATGTAATGTTTTTATCTGCACCACAAAATACATTTGCAGAGTTGCCAGCTTTCTACGCTTTTTTGAAAAGACACTTCTAGTGGTAGCAAAGTTTCATTTTACTTTAATTTTATAAGCCACGTTGAACAGCTGACCCGATACTGAGTTTACGACAATCAATCTTCAACTCCGTAAGTCTAGTAGCTTTAAACCCTATCCAGAAGATAAAGGAATCTGTGGATCACATATTGGGAGAAACTAACTCGCATTTGCGTTGCGATATTTGAACTAGAAGAGTGGTGCCTAGAGTAGAAGTTTCAAGGCTAAAAATCGCAACTCCTAATCATCCGTAATAAAAAGAAGAAAAATATACTACTATAAAACCAGTTTGTCATCTTCAATGAAATAATACCTTCAGTTGAAAAAGCCAAAAACCTTGGACTCATCCTCAATCAGCAAATTCAATTAGAATGACTTCATCAAAACAAAAGCACAAGCCGCGTGCCATAAACTCGGAGTACTATTTCATCAATTAAATATAGCATTAAAACTTAAAAGATTGCTCTATTTATCTATGATCCGCTCTAACAGTACATATGCCTCACTGGTAGTCTGTCGAAATAGCATACCCTCCAACTTATGAGAATTTTGAAAATAATTCTTTCTAGTGGTAGCGAACCAAAGTAGAAATTTTTAAAGCAAATGGATATGTTTTGGTAATTTTATCAGAACTTAAGAATCTAGCCATATGGCCTGCACTTTTATAAGTAATAGTGGACAAGTTACGCTAAAATTAATTTTTTTTAAATATTAAGACATTAATTTTGCTACCGTCTGAGAAGAAGATTTCTGAAACTACGGAAATTCCGTAGCAGTTAGAGGGTATGAAATAGCTACAATAACAAAAGCTATAGTAGTCGTAAACCCAAAAATTGGGTCGACTGTTCAACGACGGTCATAAAAATAAAATAAAATAACAAAAGCTAATGGCTCAGGAGATAGAGCGCTCGCCTTCCAATGAGGTGAACCGGGGTTCGATCCCGGCGATGGTTGGTCGGTACGAATTCAGCGTCCGGCTTGCACCGACCACAGTGCTGACATGAGATATCCTCAGTGGTAGACGGATCATGGGTTAGAGCCACCTTACCATCAGGCTAACCGTGGAAGGTTCTCTTGGTCTTCCTCTCCATGTAACGCAAATGCGGATTAGTTCCCTCAAAAAGTCCTTCAGGAAGGCAAAATTTCGCCCAATACTCGATCCAGGAGTTCCCTTGTCTTCTGGATTGGGTTCAAAATTACAAGGCTACGGAGTTGAACATTATACTATGCACTAGTGACCTCCAACCCCTGGACCGGTACTGGATCTGTGCATCTAATAATATCGGGTCATCCAAGAAATATTTAATTATTTCCATTTTATTTACTGTGGTGTATTTTTCTCGGGTTTGCACGACTTTTCAGGGACAGCGCAAGTATTGTATTTTGAAAGCCTGCTAAATAAAAACTAATAGGAGAAAAAAAAGGAGAAAACTAAGAAAATTAATAATAATAATACGTTTTATTTGATATATAAGTCAGCTGATGACGTGATTATATCCTTTTATTATTTTGTTTTCGGCTTCTTAATTTTTTTAAAATAATAATAAAATAAAATTTAAAATTATTATTTTTATTATTTTTCTCCTTTTTTTTATAAATCTTCATTACATTTTTTCTCTCGATGTTTTCTCTACATTTTTAACGTCCAAATTCTATCCTAGTCCACGTAAACATCATCAGTCATCCTTCCAAATTAATGAATTGAAGATGGTGCGTCATAAATGAATATAAGTGACGGTTACAATTTAGGCATCAGTGAGCTGCCCAAAAAGTAAATTTAAACTTAAATTTTAAATTGGATCAAAAGGTGATTGACCAAAATATTTGTAAAGTTATTGCTAAAAAGTTTAGCTTTGAAATTTTCCACTTTCAACATAACGTTTTTGTTGTTACAGATTCTTTTAAATCTGATAATTGGAGAAATAATAATACTTCTGAACTCCTTGGCACTAATGCAACCGAAATAGTTTTGTGTATAAACTGAATGATGTAAACTTTGAAACTTAGGAAAGTTAATACAAAAAATATCATCAATAAATCTGCAACACAAAAAATTGTGATTCATCTTGTAATACAGTTGTTTTTATAGTAAATTAAAAATGGGTTAGCCATAGTTGAACTAAAATTGCCTCCCTTGGAAATACCATTAATGTGTAAGAGTAAAAAACAGTCATTATTAATGTAGTTGTTGTGCAGACAAAATTTTAAAAGAGATGGGAATTTATCAATTCAAAATTTAATTTGTGCAGAGGCAATTTTAGCTAAATTAGAAACTGCTGATAATAAAATTTCGAGAGGCAAGGTAGCAAAAAAAAAAAATTAGCAAAATAAAAGGTGCTTATAGAAGCGAAATCATTACAAGTTTTAAGTTTTTCAATCACATCCCCACTAGTTTGTTCTACCCATAACCATCGGTAGTTTCCTGACTTCAGAACATTGAATAGTTCTTTTAGTTGCAATTCCAATAGGATTGCAATTTCTTTACCAATAGTGGAGGTAGCACTGCAAATAAAACGAAAGGCAACAGGGAAGTTTTGTGAAATTTAAGGATAGCATAAATGAAAAGTAATGAAATCCGCTTTGTTGTTTTTTTAACTGAGGTATTCTTATGCTTTGGCATAAGAATACCTCTCCTTTCCAAGGAATACGTGCTCTTTGTTCGCCAAGATTTATGCATTGCCATAAATTTTCTTAAAAATAGAGTTGACATTATCTGTAATACGTCGTACAAGTGTTAACGATTTCATTAATTATAATATTGGCATGAAACTTTATGCAACAGATAGCGTAATTTCCGTCTACTTTTCTACTGTGGTAAATACAAAATAATGTCTATACCTTGTGAAGAAGTAATATCTTCTTTAGTGGAGCTGTAAATGTGTTAGATTTGAAATGGGTCTTAAGCGATGATTTAAGCAGTAACAATATTTTAATTTTATATTCGTTCGAAGACCCTACTGGCGCAGAAAATTTAAAGCCAGTTTCAAAATGAACAAAATAATTAATCTTTTTGCAAAATATCTAAAGCTTATTTAACATTAACATATTTGTTGACTCTAAATCTCGTACCATACAAAAGTAAGTTTCTCAAATTGGTTTCTTTAATAAAGTTTATATCACCAGCAATAATTTGATTGCAATGCTGATAAAAGTAGACCGAATCGTTATACTCTCTGTATTTGCAGTCCATGTCACTAACACTATTGCAATTAGCTGCAACCTCTTTGTAATTATACACATACTTGGAAGAAGAAAAGGTTTATATTTGAAAACAAATTTAAATCTTTAATCGGAAAAAAATTAACATTAAAATGTTAAATAAATGGATTTCTAATTCAACCAGGAAATCTTCAGGAAAAAAGTAATTAATTTGTTTTGAAAATTTTTTTGAACTTCGTTTTAATCGTTTAGTGACATGAACTATCTATACCTACTTCATAACCCTAAATTATTAAAATTCTAAACGTAATACTTTTCACCTATATTAATATAAAATAATGAATAAGGTATGAAAAATGTATTAAATGAAAATTCTCCGTCAAAGCGTTGAATGAACGATAAGAAGAAAAAATAACAAGAATTTTTCTCTGTCATAAAAATCTTCTTTATTACAGTGCAACATGGCATAGAAATTCATGTGTAAGAAATAAATACAATATGAAAATACTGTTCGAAACTTTCATATAAGTTAATACAAAATATATTTCTCTTATTTACAGAAACTTATTTCATAACACGTGGAATGTATAAATTTGATCGCAAGTAAAGGGATGAATGCCCATAATGAACAATAAAATTTACCATCTGTAAAGGCACATTTTTTAAAATTTCTATGCAATCACTTAACTCCAATGAACAAATACAACATGATATGCAATCACATGGCATAACTTATATTCACAACAGTTGCAATATTCTTCAATAAATATGTACAAACTTATTTTCCGTAGCCAACTCAGGTCCCAGCAATAATGTTCTTAAGTATGAGCAAATACTATAATGTTCAATTTTCAATGGAAGTTCTGAGAGTTTCGACGACACTTTTGTCTAATCATTTCTTTATTGGCGCCAAAAATATTCATCATCGATTATTGCTTCAGTTTATCAATCAAAACAAGTCCAGCCTGTCATCATGCTGTCCAGCAACAGTTTTGTATGAGGTAGAGATGTGCTTTTTGTTTCATCTACAAAAAAGAAAAAGAATAAACATTAATTTTTAAGTCATAACTTATAGAGGCATTATAAAAAATTGATATCGTATTATCACTTAAACTTTCGTTAAATAAAAATGGGAAACAGAAATAATTTGACTGAACGAGGACGTTAATTAGTTAAAAGTTTCTAATTGTGTGGAAATTTTTATCTGCATAGATTGATTGGTGCTTAAAAATATGGGTGGATCTACAGATGAATGATAAAATAATGCAAATACTCTTCACACTTTTAGAAATGAAGTCACTATTACCACGGATCTACCAAATCTACGACTACTACGGTACGCGAAAAATGCGGATCGACCAAACTAAGAGGAAATTAATAAGTTTTTTCTAGCTTTAATATGAGCAATTTTAAAACCATTGCATAGTATTGTGACATTTAAGTAACTTAGAATATTCTTTTATTAAAGTCATCATGTATAAAAATTGCAAATAAAATCTACGCAGTACAACAAGGGCTATTTGTTTGATAATTATTGAAACATATTTCTAACTTATATTTGATTCTGAATTATATACATTATAGCAATTTTTCTTTTTAAAAATCTTTAATTATTTCAAATTTTAAATTCAAAGGTGAATGATAAATTGAAATTGTGTTTTCGAAACTATTTTTTTTTTTTTTTCAAATTGTGAAAACTAAGGCAAAAAAGCGTTCGAGTTTTACAGTGACCGAATTTCCTGTTCATTATATAGCCATAAAAATCCCACCAAACATTCGCCCCTTACACACATACACACACGCGATAAAATACAAAGAAGAAAAAGATCAGCATAATGCCGTCAACATTGCAAAGGTACGTTTCCTGCCTTAAGGTAAAAATAACGATACCTAGGCTGAAAAGATTTGGAAAAAAAAATATATAGATATATACCTGCGCAACGAAAAGATAATAATAAAAAAAATCGTCCCAGGGTGAGGGTTCTTTATATAAAAAAGACTTAGGGTCACTAAAGAATAAGAATGTCCATTGTATAAGACCTCCTCTTCATTGGGATCTTTTCAAAACCATGACTACTACCTGTTCGAGATCTTCGGCACTTGTTTGTCTTGGGCTGTCCAGGACCCCAACCTGTTTGCTTTTGTGTTGCCCACGAAGGAAGGGACCTAGTTTTTATTTATTCTTTTTCTGATTAGGTGAAATTGTCGGGGGTGCCGCGGAAGTCCGTCTGTAGTACCATAAAAGTCCAATGACTCGGTGGACAATTGTAGATTTCGACTATTGACTTTACATCCTGACATTCGAATGTTTTTACGTTTGTCAAGGTGTTTGTGGAACTGTCGGCATCTGATGACCTGTTGGAACATTTGTTTGCACGGCTGCTCGTTTTTCGAAGAAGAAAAAAACATACCATTACGACCTTGGCGTTTATCTGGTAGTATATAAAGGCATTATTTGAATAGTTGGCCGAATTCGACTCATTAACGTTCATGTTTATACTAGTCATTTTAATTTTATTTTTAAACGGATACATCTTCAATTTTTTTCTGTTGAGAATCAGAAGCACCCGCAAATCAGATAAGATCGGAGAAATAGTATATTCCTTAGATTTTACAGTTTTGTATCTAAAGATGGTGTCGGCCTGTCTATTGAAGTAAGACCTTGATATGGTCAAGTGGAAAAATTTGCACCATAATAAACGTACATTACTTATTCGTAAAAGCGAGTAAGAAAGAAGTCAAAATCTAATATTGGAAACCATATTTGATTGAGAATTTTTAAACCGTAGGACTAGTAACATGAAGAGAAAAAAAAATTTTTTTTTTTGTAAAATTCAGTGAGTTCGTATAATCAAAAATAATTTAACCACTTGATGCTGTGAACAGGGGAGACTTTGGCATATTGAAGCAAAGCGACATTTACCGAGTTATCTGTTCTGGTGAGACCCATAGTAAATGTCAGTGAGACTTATAGTATAGTTATCATCTTACTATATTACTGTACTTTACTAATACGTTTAATATTTAAAAATTAGTGCGCATTTTACAGAATATATTTTAAAAGGTAATTTTTACGACCAAATTAAATGAAAAAAATTAAGCAACATACTAACAAGAAAATACGGTAAAATTTCGTTTATACTCTTTATTACTATTTTAAATTTAATATACAGATTTAATTTTTTTTTGCGAAATGCTATTATGAGTAATTCATTTAAATTTATTATACCAGAGTGCCAGAGTTATTGTCCAACCTAGCAAACTCGTGTATTTCATGTACAATATTTGCTGACTACTCAAATATATAATTCTCGAAAATTCTTATTAAATAAGCATTTCATTCGAGTTTACCTTCATATATTAATGACATGAACGTTTAACTTTTGATCTGAAATTTCGCAACTGCAATATTATCCTCTTTGTTCAAATGCAATTTTTTTACAACTTTTTCCATCAATATGAGATTTCACAGTTTTGTAAGCACTTGTCCAGAATGGACTAACGAAAATATTTAGCATTCAAGTGACCTCCAAAACAAGATTATTAATATACGTATTATTTTTCGCTTTCGTTCAAGAGCAATAAAACTGCAGACTCTTATAGCCAAAAATCACCTTTATTAATAAAACGAAAGTTTAAATTTTGAATTTAAATTACTGCAATATTTTAAAATGTGTTAACCAATGGTAGAAATTTTTATGCAAATTCTCCACAACTTTCTTCCATTGATACAAATTTTCGCGTTTTTGCAAGCACTAGTCTACAATCGGCTTACGAAGAAAAAAAAAATGCAGCATTTAAAATGACCTTCATAACAAAGTAAATAATATATATTCTTCTTAGCTTTCGTTCAAAAGCTATAAAACTACAGACATTTCTCTGTAACAACCCGAAGTTGTATTACTTACTATCAGAATAGAATCATCAACATATTACCGCCTAAAAGGAAATTAATTTTGTTACGATTGTTCAAAAACAATAAAGTTGTTCACTACCTCAATGCATACATTAACCTTTGTTCATGACACCGCTGATTATAAGGCAGGGCCAAGGGTAACACAGCTTAAAATCTTTAAAATACAATTACTTTGCTCGAAGTATTAAAAAAGAATATTAGAATATATAGGAATCGCGAAATATTAAAAGATGGCTAAAAAAAGCATATCGTAGTAAAGATCATAAAACACGCATTTTGAAAGAAAATACAAATTCGGATCGTGACTGAGGCTTCCTACATGCTTTGACATTAATTGCTAGTCCTTTTAGGTTTTACGATTTAAACGTGAAGTTCTTTTTCAGTTAGCGTAAGTTATCATGATCTTTATATCTACTTGATTTTCGATGGGTAACTGGATAGGAGAATAATTTCATTGTTTCGCCGCCTGAGGGCGCCTGTGTTTAAAGAGGTATTCTTCGAAACGAATCGTTTTTTTTTATTTATTTCAGTGTCTTCGCATGATTTCCTTTTAATTATTATATGTAATGGATTAACTTTGTGTGATAGGTATTTAAAGTTAAATAAGTCTTAATGCAAGGAATAAAGTTTTTTTTTAGAGATGTAATATATTGCGAAATCGAATCACGAAATTCGCCTTGTTTACGTTATAAGAGACACATGTAATACAGCATGTTATATATCATGGAATAAGCTGTTACTTGTGTAGAGTATAAGTTGTTAAATTTACTAACTTATATCAAAAAGTTGGAAAAGTAATGATTTGCGAAAGCTATCTTTTATAAAATTAATTTCGTTTTATAAATTTAGCATTATTATTGTGTAAACAAACAATACTAGAATTACCGTAAAAATAAATGAACATGCAAATTATAAAATATTTAGAAATATTAATTAAGAATAACAACAAAATATTGATTGCGTGTATAGTATGCGACAAAACTTAAATAAACACGCAACTGAACCTAATACTTCACTATAAGAATACTCATTTTGCTCTCTAAAGAATATTGATTAACAATATTGTGATCGTGTATTAAAATACATTAATAGCAATAAGTCTAGTAATAATAAACAAGAACAATTAGCTTATAAGTTCGCATTACCGGCAAAGTACGCTATTCTTATATATAAACCATATCCAATATGTTTATAAATTACTTTTAAAAATTGAAAAATAATTAAAAAGATATTTATTTGAAAATTTATAGCTATTAACTATTAAAAAGAATAAAATATCTTTTATAAAAGAATTTTATCTTTTTATTTTAAGAAAATAGTATTGCGTCAGCTAAATTAACGAACTTCATCCAAATTAATATTCGATTTACAAATTTTTCAAAAATGCAGAGGGAAAATAGTAAGCATTTTTGACGGATAGTGTTAACTTATTTCATAAAGATATAGTTATTAATTTTATAAATTACTTTTCAATGAATATGCTGAATGTAATTTGCATTTACTCATCAATTCAACTAATCAAATCTAAAATTCTGGTGTAGTAGCGATTTTTGAAATATTATGCCTAATGAAACGCATATTTAGGAATTAAATTTATTGAAATAATTCAGTCACATTAATTTACAACACTTTGCTTCAAAGAGCAGGTGAAAACCATTAAAAATCATAAAATTATCAAAGTTGACATCCTACAAAATGTGAAAATAGTAGCTGTTAAAACATAAAAACTATCGATTTGCTGAGGTACTTAAAAAGTTTAAAATACCAAATTTATGGTGAGTATTAGTAAAAACGAGAGATTATATCAGATAAAGAGGAAAGAAAAAATCAATGATATGAAATTGAAATATAAATAGAAGTAGGGAAATTCTATTCAGGAGAAAAAATTAAATAAAGACGATTTTAAATTATGAAATAAAATTATGGAATCAGATAGGAAATAAAAACACAAATTTACTTATTTTCATACAAAAGTATTGTATACAATCAGAATTTTTACATTAAAAAAATATGTTTTATAAATTGAAACTGCTCATTGACCTCAACTAAATAAAATAAAACAAGAAATATGCCTATTTTTGTTTAAAAAGTATAGTAAACAACTCGAGTTATTTCTTTAAAGAAATTATATTTTATAAAATTGAAAATGCTCAATCGAAGTAATAAAAAATATCGATAACAATTCAAGGATATGTGAAAATTTTACTGTTTTCCTTTACCTAAAGCATACATAATACCTTATTTCCTGTAGTACGTGAAAGAAGTAATTTGAAATAAAGTTAAAATGTTTTTTTTCGGTACATCAAATTCAAAAGAAAAAAATTTAAAGGTTTCAAATTAATTCGAAAATTTCTCTCAAGATTGATGCTCGTTTAACTATAGTACTATGTTTAATTTATGATTTTGCTGTGTTGATCTTTGTTACATACTATATCTAAATATTTGTTCTATTTGAGTATATATAATAGCGGAAAAAAATAATTTTTAAAAAATAAGTACTAATGAATAAAAAAAAAAACATCAGGTACAATATTATACTCACAAAAAATGAAATAACCGTATGTAAGGATCTTTTTTTTATTTTATAGAACAGTACGTACTTACAGTATTTTACAAACAGAAATATTTATTCATAAGCTAGCAACAAAAATAATTACGAAAAAAAAAACGGCTACTAATCAACCATCAACTTATCGTATACATTTAAAATAAGCATATAAATAAAGTTTCAAATAGAGTATTATGTATATAAAAAATAGAATCACCAGGTATAAATATCATATTGGTATAAATATCTTATGGGTAAAATCAGGTATAAAATGACATCATAAATATTGTTAATTAACAGAATCAAACGTAAAAATGAAAATCATAATATATTGTTAATAAAAAGATTTAATCGAAAAATCAAATCTATAAATAATTGATTAAAATCAAACATATAAAAATGAAAATCATAAATATTGTCAATAAAAGATTCTATTGAAAAATTAAATCTATAAGTAACTGATAGAAATCAAACGTAAAAACGAAAATCATAAATATCGTCGATAAAATATTCTATCAAATAATTTAATCGAGAAATTACTGATAAAAATTAAAAGTAAAACATAATAAATAATAATCACATAAATCGTTGTTAAAAGTCAAATGCTAAATAAAATCATAACAAATCAAATGTCAACTTACCATTTCATTGATCAAAACCAATTGGCGAAATCCATCAAATCTTCCTCCTCGTCTCCTACCATCAGATCGTACGGCGAAGATGCTTCCGAACAAACACTGGGTGTCGGAGATCCCGTAGAAGACTGACCCCCGGCCGGGTAAGAGTTCTCATCTACTGACCCACTACCGGTCATTAAATTGTTCGTTGTCTCTCCTAATAGTTCTTGTAATCTTTTAATATACTCAACGGCAGATCTTAAAGTGTCCACTTTGCTCATTTTTTTGTTCTTTGAAGAATTAGGGACGTGTTGACGTAGTGTCGCGAAACCTAAGTTGACCAAACGAACCCTGTTTCTTTCTCGCTCGTTTCTCCTGGCCACTGCCGCAGGCTGGGGATTTGAACCCTTACCTCCGGAGGATAATTGTCCAAGTTGGATTCGTCTTTTACATCGTAATAAATCTTGATTGTTATTGATGTACTTATGACTGTGTTCTGGAATCCTGGGAGCGATTCGATGATGCGTTCCTATGTTCGTAACTGGTGAAGATGAAGATAAACTGTTCGTGTAAGAGCTACCATTGGAAGATGACGTTACTAAATAACAAGTTGTGTTGTTAATCATGTTTTCTGCTGGATGCATTCCATTCAGAAGCGTCAAGGAAGCCATGGTTGGAATATATGTTTTCAAACGTAAACAAAAGTCAAAATCAGAAAGCCATTAAGAATAAAAGCAGTAAAAGACGAAATCAGTGTAGCATCATTTTTTGGAAGATGAAGATAAATGATTCGATTCTAAACGTGGAAGCTTCCGCGCGGGGAACGGCAAAGGTATGATCAGAGCACGGGGATAAACAAAGTAGTCTAAACGTTTGCCGAACTCGAATGCCAACCACTCTCTAGGAAGTTTCTCGCTCGACTGAAACCGGCTCCGAGTTGGGGTAGAGTTTTAATCCAAAGCGGGGAGACCCCCATGATCATGAATTTTTTTTTTTTACATCATGTTCTTAGGCATCGCTCATGAATATCAGACTCCGCCTTACCCCCCGGGTAAAAGGGGGAATAAATTTCAACCCTCCTCGTGCTCGCGTGTCCGATTTTTCAAGGGGGGAGGGAGAGCTGAAAATGTTCGTGTTGTGTGGAACAATGATTTGGTTTGGGGGGTCGCTCAGCATATGACTGACACAGGAAGTATAGGCAAATGATTTCAGGGGAACTAAATGTATGATATTATTAAAGGTATATGGTTTTTTATACATTAGAACGTGTGTATAGATCTATCCATATATATATATAAAGAATTTGATGATATAAAACATTGATATGTAAATAAGACCTTGTTCAAAAACTGCGCTATCTGTATTCGAAAATTGAAAATAATGATTATTTGATATAAAACAAATTTTAATTATTGGAAAACGTTTTGAAATACTTCTTTTGGTGTTATTTTTAATTAGATTTGTTAAGTTCTTTTTCTAAGAAATATTTAATTATGTCATATTGATACACCTGTAGTTGTCTACAGAAAAACACCTTTTACTATTTTTTTATTCTTGTTATTTGTTTTTATTTCAAAAATATTATATAAATTTTAAAAAATCTAAACAATCGACATTGCTGTTTGGTAATTACGAAATCACCTCCCGATCTCGTTATTGGCAGAATGTAAGTTCATGATAAATAAAATTATCATGAGCATTATAATTGTTCATGATATTTTCTCACTCAGAAATTTTTCGATGAAAAAACAGAGAACTAGCCTTCAAATATTCTCCAGCTTTGATTTTCATTTATAAATTGCATAATTTACATAAAGAACATAGAGGGGAAAAAATTATACATCTAAGAAAAAGACAAGAAAAAAACGAAATGATTAAGGCATGTAAAAATAAATCCAATTATTCCTGTATTTTTTTAAAAAGCTTTATTTTTAATGATAACTTTAGGTAACTAACTATAAATTCCTTTAGTTTTCTTTGAAATATAATTCTCAATTAAAAATGAATTTACAAAAAAATACAATTCGTAGCTGCATGCCAACAACAACGCTTTTGAGGAAAGTTTTTCACAGTGGTAGTGAAACAACAATTAACTGGATTAATCGATAAAAAAAAATAATAAAAAAATTGTTATCCTTCACTAGTGCTTAATAACTCTAAAGCATGACTGTTATGATTTTTCAAGCATGAGTTTGAATTGTTATAAACCAATAATTTTTTATTACAATAATTAAACCAAGAATCAATGAAAAAAATAAATGGATTTTAAGTCGAACTACCACAAAAACTTCCGCAAAACGGAAAAGTTGGTAACTATGACAACGATATTTTCGCGTCGTTTTTATTGTTACATGCTAATTGCTCGGAACAATAAAGATTTGATGGGATATAAAGGAAAGTGATTTGGCGGTAGAAAATTTTGTTTTTATAATTTTATTATTAAATCATACCAATTTTTGGAGAAACTATTTTTAGATTAGACTATTTTATATAATCATTCCTAGTTGTTTTGCTAAATTTTTATCTTCTTACTTATATAATGAAAGTATATCAGTAGAAATGTAATAACAGAATTGAAGTGCTGTGATTAATGCGCTCATGATTCACTTTAAATTAAATAATGTAATCTAACTCCAGTAAAAATTAAAAGATATTCTGTCTTTTTAAGACAATCCCTGCTGGGCCATACATATCATCTAATTTATTTACATTACAATGTGCTATATCTTGACGAAAGAGAGTAAAAATAAAATAGTTTAAATACCATCATTAAAGTTTTAGCCACTATTACAGAACCTTAGTATGAAAATGTATTTGTCCAAAAAACGAAAATTCTCGATGCTCATTAAATTAAACATTAATATGTAACTTAACTTGCGTAAATTAATATGTGAAAACATAATAAAAAATTTTTAAGAGGAAAAACGAGAAGGTATTTTTACACTTTTTAAATTATTTTCATTATACATCATATTCATTATACATATAAGCTACTATTATATAATAAAAAAATGAATTCTTTTTATAGATATAATGAGAAAAAAAACTTTTTTAAACTCAAAACACTTTAAATTCAGTTGTGTACATACACTTAGATGCACCAGATTTACAAATGCGTCCTATTCTAGATTTAACATAAAAATTTCAAAATTTTGAATTATTTATCATGCGAAACAAAAACACAGTGATGAAAATATATTCGGATATTTATAATCAATNTGTTTTGCTAAATTTTTATCTTCTTACTTATATAATGAAAGTATATCAGTAGAAATGTAATAACAGAATTGAAGTGCTGTGATTAATGCGCTCATGATTCACTTTAAATTAAATAATGTAATCTAACTCCAGTAAAAATTAAAAGATATTCTGTCTTTTTAAGACAATCCCTGCTGGGCCATACATATCATCTAATTTATTTACATTACAATGTGCTATATCTTTACGAAAGAGAGTAAAAATGAAATAGTTTTAATACCACTATTAAAGTTTTCAAACTATTACACAACGTTAGTATGAAAATTTATTTGTTCAAAAAATAAAAATTCTCGACGCTCGTTAAATAAAACATTAATATGTAACTTAACTTGCGTAAATTAATATGTGAAAACATAATAAACATTTTTTAAGAAGAAAAAAGAGAAGGTATTTTTACACTGTTTAAACTATTTTCTTCGTTTTTATTATACATCCGTATAAGCTTCTATTTTATAATAAAAGAATAAATTCTCTTGATAGATATTATGAAAAAAAAAAAAAATTTAAACTCAATACAGATGGAATAAATTCAGTTGTGTACATATAGACTTAGATGCACCCCCTTGCAAGATTTACAAGTGCGTCCTATTCTAGACTTAACATAAAAATTTCAAAATTATGAAGTATTATTTATTATACGAAACAAAAGCACAGTGATGAAAATATATTCGGATATTTATAATCAATAATTTTATTTTCATTTAAGAAAACAGTATAATTGAGATGAAAAGGAAAAATTAAGGTAGTAAATTGAAACACTGTATACGCTTACCATAATGAAGTGATTTTTTTTTAATTTTATTTATTTTTTTGATAATAGGAAGAAATAACATACTATCTTATAGTAATTATATTCAAATTTAAGGGTTATTATTAAAGTGAACAAAAAAATATTTTATTATTAAAAAATCTCTTAATTTTAAATTATAGTGTTCTTTTTTCTGGCTAATGTATCCTTCCAAACTCTTGAGCCCCTCCCCCTCCAGCACTGCAGGGGTGTTATTTACTGCTACTGAAGAAATTTCCTTCTGTACTGATAAGAGCAATAGCCACCCATTCTATGCAAGCATGCCTATTGTATTTCTGTCTAGGCACTGGTTTACATTAACACCCTCTTGTCTAATCATTCATATTTACATATGCTGACTTTGAAATTACTTCAGCCAAACGCTTTGGTGGTCCACAATTTTTTCTCTTCTTTAGAAATGAATGAATAGTTTCACAGAGCTCATATTTTATCAAGAGAAAAATATTCATTATTTTGACATTTCTTAGTAACGCCGCTTTTTCATAAATTAAAATTTGCACTTCGTTTCTCTGTAAAAGGGCAAGACTTCTACTTTTGAGGATTGGAGAGGAAAACGATATGGGTGGGATTCCAGTGCAGCAGACACCTTGCAAAACAAACAATAATTCCAAATTTATATTAAAACAGGCTCTCTTCAAATTTCTTCTTCAAAATTCTTAGATTTTTTTCTGAATTAATTTTCCGAAGAAAACGTCATCAAATCAAAGCTTAAACGATTTAAAATAAGAACTAAATTAATTATTATTACTTTTTTATCAATAGAATATTTAGAGTTGATAATATTTTTCAATTTCAAAATTTAACGCTTTTCGGTTTATTTTTATTCTTTCCTTAAATTCATAAGCTTTTTTAAACGTTTAAATAAATAAAGCATAACTTTAGATATTTAGTAAAAGAGTTTCGGCCCGTTAAAATTAACTGTTTCGAAAAATTGTAAACATATTAATTTACTTTTTGTTTATAAACATGTATGTTTTACTTATGAAGTAAAATAATTTATTTGCCTAAATAATACAGGGTGATAATAAATTAATTTCCAGTGGTTACTAATTATTAGTAAATATTAAAAGAAAATGACGTGTTACATGACCAATTACCGGAAAGATTTTGGACTAACTAGCTCATATTTGGCAGCCGAACGTGATAGAACATGCGGTAGATACGGTACAAGGCTGTTAGAGCAACAATTTTAATTTTCATAAAAAGTATTAGTATGTACTTGGTTTAAAAAAAATCTGAAAAAAAAAAGTTATAGTGAGTTTTATTTGCATCAAATTAATTTAGAGTGTGCTGAAAATTGTTGTCCAAATAGTAATATATGCATAGATTGTCTGGAATAAAAGTTAATTATCTGTCGGGCAATTTGAACCATTAGTTTTCCAGCATCAATGTTAAAAACCTAATATTACTATTTCATCAATCAGTAAATTCCATGCAACTAATTTTTTTTAATGATCTTAATTTATTAATTTTGATTCTTTCCTATACATAAAAAGAGAATATATAATAACGCTGTAATACGAATGAGTTTGGTGAAAATAGTTATCAGCTGAATAGTACTGCGTTATAACTTTTCTTCTACATTTTTTATTTATTTTTCAATCTCAAATTTGTTTTTCTTTTTATCGAAATAACCTGCTAACATTTATTTTATTTTGCTACATAATTTTTTTTTTTTTAAATTAAACTGTAGATTATAACTTAGCTTTCTGATTTTACTAGTATATAATCTTTCCTCTTAATTCTAATAGCCAACACTAACATTATTATTTTTATTCGTACTCTAAATAAAATTACCATATCATATCATAATAAATTTTTTTTCCGGATGAAAAAATGTTACTAAAGAAAATAACAAATTTCAAAATAATTAATTCAAAATGTTATGGAACAAAATAATCAGATTATATAAAGTTTTAAGAACAAAGACAAATATTTTTAAGTATGTTGTTTTGGTTTCTAGTTTCATCAGTTTTTG